GTATGTGTATGTATAAATTTCTAAAATATTTAATATTCTAAGATGTTTACTACGAAAATAAAAAAAAATACTGAATCACCTATTAAACGGCAACAATAAAATATATACAAATATAAATGAGTGTGAAATTTCAACCCAGTACACAATAAATTCAGATAAAATAACAACAAATCGAGGTTGAAAAAATATATGTGTATATAATATAATAAAAAACAAAATGAATTTATGCATAAAAACTTTATGACTAAATGCTTTGGAATAATATTATACATAAGCACTTAAAGTATATCGCAAAAAAAATTTTAACTATGTTAAAAATAGAGCGAAGAGAAGAGATTGGTATCTATGTTGTCTGGAATGAAGAAAGAACAACTGCGTCTACACTCAATACACATATACGAGTACACGTATATATGTGCATACGTTTAATATTATCACTTCTCTTAATAAATATTTAAATATTTACGAAAATCGCATTTTAAATAAAGATTAAACACATGGAAATTAGAACAGCAGATCGTTGACGTCAATTTCGTTCGTGTAAATAGAGACAAGGTAAACACATAGTCAGCAATTAAGTAAATAAGCAAATAAAATTCCAGTTGCTACCAAAATGTGATGCAATGAAGCAAAAAGTATACATTTAATACTAGAACACAGAATATTGTATGGAAAAAAACTGTTTACAAGTGAAATCAAGTTGAAAAAATAACATATAAAGAGCAAATGTTTACTCATTGAATTTCCGTTGGATTCGCTCGGACAAAAAGAGTTATCGATTAAAATGTTTTACAACGTTAGGAGTTATCGTTCATACTAACCGGAGATAAATACGAGTGAATTATTCTCGTTGACTCTAAGGCAAATACGTTCAATCAAATTGCTGCTAATTAAATTTTCTACTTTTTATTTTCGCTGTTCGCTGTTTGCCAAAGTCAATGATGGCGCTAAAACGTGATCTTAGCTTAATTTACATGTAAATAAAGCGAGCGGAGTAGAGTCTACTTACAAATGTACATGTGACGACAATGAGCCTGCAAGCCATTGTTGTGCTCATAGCAGCGTCATATAAGATAACCTGTCTTTCTGTACAAATATATGTACATACATACTCGTATGTACATTCATTTTTTTTTTTTTGGCGACAACAGCTTACAATGATGATTGTATGTAATCTTAATTAGCAAGCTAACAAACAATTGAGTGTTTAAATAGTAGAAATGGAAAAAAATAAATATTCAACTAACTGAAAAATGAAGTGGTACGTACATATGAACATACACGTATATGTATGTATGTATATGGACTAAAGAAAAAAAAAAACTAAATAATAGCAAAATGAAATGAAATTTATAAAAAAAAAAAACAAGTAGTCGTTTTAGACACGTTTACTTATGTCATTTGCCGCTTGTAACAAAAGGAATGTTGAAAACAAAATACATACATACATGTAAAAATATCAGGTGCTAAATTGAATATATATGTATGTTAAAAAAGTTTGAAAGTTAAATAGCGTATCTTCTATTTAAATATGCTCTTCGCTGTTTTTTGTTTAACGCCTGCTTGGTCTAATTTAAGAACATTTTAATGAAAATAATTAATATTCAAAATATCAAATTAGCAAGGCATTAAAATTTTAATTATGTCAATACAGCATTTTGGTATTAAAAACTAATTTGATTAAAAAAAGGTATAATAAATAAAAATATCATACTAAATAATAGTATGTAATAGTTTTCAAAAATAATTTGAATAATAACGGCATCTGGCTTTGAATTTATTTGTTATGAATATAGGTACATGCATATGCAAATGTCTCTTTTTCAGATACCAAAAGTAAAAAAGGAGACACAAAATTTCAGCATTTTTATATTACATAATTAAAGGAAAGCGAACGAAAACGAAAAAACGTTTTCTCACGATAAACCTTTGGGTGAGTATAATAAAAATAGAAAAAAGTTTTATTCCTTGTTGTTTTTTTTTCAAATTATTGCTTTTTCAAACAACAACAATAAGACGTCTTTATTACATTTTCTGTGACTGTAAGCATTTTATTTTTAGCAAATTTTTAAATTGCAAATCACTCGATTTCACTTAATCAGCAGGCTATTACGCTGTTAAGCTTATCAATTTTTTAGCACGTTTGCTTTATATGACATGTATATACATACATACATATACACGTCTGCAAATGATACACAATAAGAAAGCATGTCAAATTATTACCTAGAAATCTACTAAAAATTCATTGGAATTTCAACTAAATGGGAGTGAGTAAAAATTTCGTGCACGATTGCTGAGTAAACTCTCTTTAAAATGAAATTAAGCCAGATAAACCAAATATTCATCTACGTATGTATGTATGTACACGTATGTACCTATACGTATTTATGTATGTATACTGTAGAAGCAGTTGATAAAAGTTCAGACTGATAAGTTATGGTTAAGAAATGTTACATAATGTGAAAATATTTTTCACGTAGTACTTGAATATTTTTTATAATATAAATGATATAAAAATAAAATTAAAATTTTGTAATACACTTTTTTTTAATATATTTATTTAATATTTTTCTCAAATCTGTTGGAGCAGATAAGACAATTTTATTTTTATAAATAAAAATTTATGTACATATACGTATTTATACATACATACATATATTTTATAACTTCATAAAGAGGTAAAGATATCTATGTGCACATATATGTATATATGCATATACACTTTATCAATATACAATAATAATATCCAAGCATATATCTTAAGTCGCAGTACAGGCGTTCAGCATGATCTCGAGGGTTTGTGGTGCGATAAGCGAGTAACAAGTATGTACTTTACTTATTCTAGTACTAGATAAATGCAAACGTTTGCATATAGTACCAGTAAGTAAACAGTGAGTATGTATGTAAGAAAATATATAAAATTAAATAAAGACAATAAAAAAGACTGGACGCCATTAAGAGAACAAAAAAAAAAAAAAAATAAATAAAAAAATTATAGGAAATGCTATAAGACCTCTATAAACAGAGACACTACTGTTGATGAGTGCGGGGAAGCTTTTTTTTTAATTTTCTTCAAAATAATTATTTATTAAATATAGTATTTTTTTGGTTTGTATATTTTATTGTGAATGTTTAGTGCATTTTTTTTTTCTTTGTATTTGTGGAAATAAATATGTATGAATTTTATTCTTTTTGCCTTTTTTGTTGACACGCTTTTGATTAATTGTAATGGAACGCAATTGGGTCGGAAGTTGATGATATGGTATATACAATGGTAAAGTTAAAATTAAATAATATTATCAAATTTGGTCACCATACATTTTAGGTCAGGTTATTCATGAATTTATCCGCGGTAAGGCGACTAAAATCCAATAATTTCCGCGACAGTCGGGCTTTTATACCGTAACGACTCGGATTTATGCGGCCAAGGGATGTCATTCCCGCAACAAGTTCTAATCAAAACGATAACATACCCGCTAATATGCTGTTGTTACTGTTAGAAACACTCGTATAAAAAAATTTTTTTTTTTTAATTTTCTAAACAAAATATTCATACACGTGGTCGCACAAATATATGAAAAAGTAATAATCGCAATAATTACTTACATACATACATATGTACTACATACATATGTATGCATTGTAAAAAACTTCATTTTGATCTTAAAAAAAAAACGATAATAGAGGAAATAAAATATTTTTACACAGAACGTACATTTGCATGCAAGTGTAATATTACTCATAGATAATAACATAGAAAAATATGTAAATTTTTGTGGTAAACGGAAAGTTAATAATCCATAAAAGAAAATATGCATTTACAACTACACGCATCAATAAAAGTGCGTGCGTTTCTATAGAGATAAAAAAAAAATTATGAATAAAATGCGCCAGCTTGTCTGGCTGCCGGTTGACTGCATTGAGTTGATAATGAACGTGATTACAATAATGATGATATTACAATCAACATATGTATGTGCACACATACATATATGAATAAGAAGTGAATGCAACTAAAGTTGGCGAACTGCTAGACCGTCAGTTCGTTAGTTAGTCACTCGCGTCAAAGCGTCACGTTATAACTGCCAATGATTATGACTGACACGATGTGCGGTTAATTCATAAATTATTTAATACAATCTTCACCAAAGTTGAGGAAGTTGCATATAATGTAAATTTAACATCTCAAAAACTCAACAAAGACGTAGAAGAAGCAGTGAGAAAAATATGACACGATGCTCCATCAGTGAATAGCAAGAAAACCTACATACATACACGTACATTTGTATGTTTGCCGAAGCAAAAGAAGGCGTCACTGCGAACACAAACAACAAATGCTGCTTCCATCTCAGTCACTGTAGAATCCAATGCAGTGTTGACAGTCAAGCTGCCTACCGTGCATATTTTTACATTATTTTTGCTTTACATACATACATATGAATATTTTGTTGCTGTTGTTGGTGTGAATCTTCGGTACGCTTCATTGCAATACCATGACTGTGAAGTAATTTCAGGGGTAATGTTAGCTGGTGGCTTGTGGGTGGTTGCTTGTTGGTTGATTGACAGCTGACGTTGGTTGTTTGAATTAGCACGACCGGGGCTAAAGTATACATAATTTGGTGTTATGAATAGAACACCCTTATGTGCATTAAATATATGTATGTATGTACTTGAGTTGTTATGTAAAGTGCAGTTGCGAAATGCCTACGCGTCTTGTTGTTGGTGACCTTGGCAAGGATGCTGACATTCGTCGTGGGTTGAATATTGACATTAGATGTTTTTTTATTTTATTTTTTTTTATAAACAAACACTTCACAACGCACGTTTATGCACATTCAGATTTACATATGAACTTAAATATATTTACAAGCAAGTCCCTACAGACAAATTATAACCTATTCGTAGATATATGATATATGAAAATCGATTATTAAGTGTATACACTATACTTGTTTGTTCATATGTATATATGTATGTGCTCATCACTTTTTACTTACTTATTAAAGGTTTTCTGATAATCCTTAATTTGTTTCCGCGAGAACTCATGGAATTCGGTGTAGACATTAACCACTTTAAATTGATGTGGCACATCAATGCCTGCTTCCTGTGAATCCATAATCACTTGTCTGCGATTTAAAATGTGTGTTAACTCTGACGAATCACTGCATGCGGAGGATGAGTCGCAACTGCCGGGACGACCTAGCGAAGGTCTACTGCCACCGACACTGCCATTACTGATGGGCACACCGGTAACGGAAGACGATGCAGATGAAGCATTTGATGATACCGACATTTTTATTTATTTTTATATTTTCTTAAAAAATTTATATTATTTGTGCGTGTATAAGAAACGTAACAGTTTCGTTGTTCACTGAAAAACAGGGCGTTTATCCTTATGCGTTTTTACCTTGCACTTCTTTCGAGGTTCGCTGCTCTTGCAGGTGTACACAAGTATTTCACTTGTTTGTTTTCAGATATTTCACTTCAACAAAATTTTACTTTACAGTGGGTAGGTCATCAAGTACACACCCTTATCACGTTGGAATACGAATGACGGGAATAAAAAGGATAACAGAGGAAACGCACACAGTATCACTGGCACAATGAAAACTTGCGTAAATGGATTTCAATAAGGATACAAAGAATAATAAGGATACAGAAAACGTTTAAACATACAATATATGTAGGTGCACGTTATTTCGACGAGTTTGGCGCAAATGTAGGTGTTTCAATACAAAAATGAGTTTATTTTTAGTTTATCTGAAAAATGTATAGAGATTTGCGTTCGCTTTGTATTTGAATCACAAAAGTATTTTGTTTTCTTTCAAATTGTTTTTGTTATTAAAACAATATCCGTTATTTTTTTACCGCACGACAACAACTATGTCTGTTCACAACAACGAATTTGATTGCAATGAAATAAAGATGCACAACACTGGCCGAATCGACTTTTTCCTATTGGTCGAATAGAGCTGCCGTATCGAAAACAAATTTGATTTAAACACATGTGTTACTGCCAGACTGCTTCTTCAGCTAGAGTAATCTAACTAATTTACTTATTGTGGAACTTTAAACTTAAAGAGACTTAACAATTAGATATTTATAAAGATATGTTCGTCCAATTACACAGCTGTTCTACGTTCAAGTAAATATTTCATGAAAAACCATTTTGACAGATTCTACATTGAGGCATTCGCGTTACGCCACGGAGTGATTTATGAGAAATCCAGCCAACCTAATCCTCAATTTTTTTTTCTTTGAAAATACATTTTTATCAACTAGCAACCATTTAATGCATGTAAAGAAATGAATAAATTACAATTTCCTCTAAAAACTTGCTTACGATTTATTTTACACGCAAGTTTTGCTTATAAAACGTATAAGCAAAATACTAATTCAAATATAAATACACTGTTTTTGGTCTAATAATCTACATCTAGACTACTCTTACTACCGCCGGCACTCGAAGATTCTTCAGGCTCATAATTTTGATAAAGAGCCATACCACGATGATTGAATGTATAGAATGAAGGCAGGTTGCCCAAAGTGTCCCAGGATTTCTCTTGCATGTCAACTGTTGCACGTATTTCCTTGAAATTGCCAACCACTTGAATTAAATTGTAAACAACAACCAGGAGGCTAACAACGATTTGCACAACAATCTGATTTCGTAAAATGCAAAATTAGTTTTTATTTTCTTGCTACAACTGCATAAGATACTCACATCAACGGGTAGACGTGTCCAATCCTGTTCTGTCAACCGCAAATAAGTGCGATCTAAAAATATATTCAATTATTTAGTTTATGTACGATGTTCGCTCTTTGGCCTTTTATTTTTCAATACTTACGATGCGCGGCAGAGAAAGCAGAGTGTAGCAAACTTATTAGGCCAGCAATTAGCATTATGCGATTCACAATCTTTGTGCCCATTTTAAAATCTTTTTAGTTTATAGAAAAGTTTTATTTTATAAAATTTACGATCGAAATCAACAAATAAATTACTTGCTGACACACACTGCAATTGAAGTAAATTTTCGTGAACAGCTGTTTTCTATTGGCGCTGTGATAACTTTGCAATCGATGAGAATTAATCGGTAGAAAAATGCATGCCGACAATCGCTTGCAAGTATCAGCCAGAGAACGTACATACAACGTAAACGTATTTACAAATACAACTTAGAACGTAAATTTACATATCAACGTAAACGTAAATTTACATATCAACATAAACGTAATTTTACATATACAACTTATACGTAAATTTATATATCAACGTAAGTTTAAATTTACAAATCAACGCAAACGTAATTTTACACATACAACTTACACGTAAATTTACGTTACCTTTACCAGCAGAGTACGTACAAAGAACGTATATGAACGTTCTTTGGTACGTATATCATTTTCGTTATTTTACGTTCTCTGGTTCTCTGGTATCAGAGACAGAGAACGTATCAGAGACTGTATCTATATTTTCTGATTGAAGCTTTTTGTTGGATTTACGTTCTGCATTCATTCATACATGGTTACAGTGGCTCTAAAACTATTTCATACAAAATAGTTCAGCTTGGTTTCGGTTTATATTGTATACTAACTTGTATCGAATTATTTTCTTTTTCGATTTCAATAAAGACACATACATGTTTTAAAGAATTTACATACGTATATTTAACAAATAGTAAATTATCTTTATTTCTACCAAAGTATAACTTTTTGAAATGTTGCGGAGAAAGCATGATTTTCCTCAGATGCACTAAAGGAAGTAATGAATCAACAAGATGAACGCAGTTTATATGTACACGTAAATGAACTGCTGTAGTTTTTTAGCAAATCAAAAGCTCTAAAAAATGGAAATACATATTTATATACATTAATATGCACATGTCAAACAATTAAATGTTAAATTACATGTGAAGGTATTGAATTTTATATTAGTATAAGTGGAAAAGGATTAGAAAATCTATTAAATTTTTTCATATCTAGAGAGAAAATCAAAAATTCAAAGAGAATATTAAAACTGGACACTAAAAAATATTTTGTTGAGTGAAGCTTTATACTTAGACTCATTTATATACATATAACTCAGAAGTGGATTAAAATTTAGTTATTTATGTGAAATTATTGTCATATATTTGTCATATATACATACATACAAGTATATGTACATATAATGGAAAGTGTACTGCAAAAAAGGTCAGCTCATATACTTCATATAAGACATTAATACCCGTAGTTAGTACAGAATATTATATTACTCATACGTACATATATACTGTAATGAATGTAATAAATACTTAATCATATTTATTTTCGCAATTTTAGGTATTATTGGTAAATTTTATATCCCTTTCTTTTATTGGGCATTAGTAAGGGCAGATAAAAATGGTTAAAGGTATTGTAAATTATATTTACATGTAAGGTACTTCACCGTTTGCATGCCTGTAACATGTCATACATATATGTTGAAATAAAAAAATTTATATGTACAAAAAAAAAAATGAGTACGGAATTTCATTGTTCTATTTGCAGAAATGCACCTGCATTGCAGACGGAAGACCTACTACATCCATTATATACGTATGAATGCATGTACGTTTGTATAGAAGTGCACAGTTTTTGTTTGCTTTATAGGTATCGAGTAACAGATAAGATAATGGATAACAGTTAACAGTTGTTAAGTTCCAATAGGCAAATAAAACAGAAATGAGTTCATGGGCATTCAAAATTGAGGTAAAAATCGATTTCAAATTTTTATAAAATTTATGCTATAATGGGCTTGACGAAAATATCTGTTGAGTTCAAATGCACCTCTTATCAATGTTGGCGTTATGGCTTTCTAACAGTTAGATTTAGATGTTACTTCGATGTTTAGCCGGATAAACTTTAATTTAGATTTTGGTTTATTTTCAGAAAAATACAAGCTGTTTTTAATTAGGTTTAGATTAGGGAAAAGGAATTTTTTTTTTAAGTTGAACGGAACGATGTATGTTTGTGTCACTTGTTAACACTAAAACCGTAGATTTTATGCTACCTATAGCACCAACAATGCAATTTAGGGAAAAAAACTATTTTATGTATTTAAAAGGATAGGAGGAATCATTCTAATTGTATAATATATCGAAATAAATATTCAACATTTAATATTTCGACTAGTTTTTAGCTTATTTAGGGTCATTTAACTGTAGCTCTGAAAGTTTTCTGGCAACAATGCTTCTGATTTGTTCAACAGACAGTTTAAGGCACGTTCTCGTAATATACGATTAACTTTATCTATAACCGGAGGATAGCTAACAGCCAGATAGGTGGATGTGACACTTTCGTTTTCACTAAGTTCTGCTTGTTTAACTTCAGATTAGTTGGAGCATTGTGAATATTTTAAGGTAAATTCACCGAAATTCGGATTATTAATACATTTAAATTGCATAACGCTGATGTTTGCTTAAGTTTTTCCATACATAAATTTTTTTATTTATTTTTTTTTTGCTACATAAACTTCTACTTCATCCAAATTAGAGCCATTCTGGAATATTTTGCAACACTTTACAGGCAACAATGAAATTCTTAAATCGATTTAGAGTACAGACTTGAGATTCATTTTAAAGCCGTTCGGTAAGAAGATTAGAAGGTTAAAGTTTTCACATCATGTAGCCTCCATAACCACTGTAACTCAATAAAAAGCAGTCCCTAAATTCGTTTTACTTAAGCCGGTGGCTCAGACAACTATTATTTAAAGTAATGGTGTCATTTCCAGAACCAGGTCAGCTGCATAAAAACTACGTTATTTTCATTTTTCAAGTACGCTTTTCTGCATTATGCTCTCATTTTTCCTTCAATGTTTTCGCTATTCTGAGATGAATGATTGCACAATTGCCGCTATAGCAATATACACTATTTACCACTCGACTGGCAGTCACCACTTTTATTCCTCACAAGTCAGCTTCTAAATTTAATTTCTTTCTTTCTGATTTTGGAAAGATAAAAACTTCTCCGTAATATTTCAAATTAAAAAAAAAAAGTGTTTTCGTTCTCTATAAATATGCTTGCCAAATTTTTCTTAAATAAATTTATTTTAAGGTTAACATCAGAATGAAATAATTTTTACTATTTGCAACTGTCAAATTATCTTCTGGTTAAGTACTAATTGGCACTCAATGTTGGCGCTAAGTTAACCAAAACTTAATTGACAGCTGCGCCTTGACCGGACATTGTGAAAACGTGATTTATGCTACCTTTGATTAAGTGCTTAACAGGAGATAGCGAAAACGGCCATAAGAGCTCAAAGGATTTAAGCTATAACTTAAGAGCTAATGTATTTTTATCTCAGTGCGCCTTAATTTCAGAGCTAAGGTACTTTAAGCTATACTTTTGGAGCTAAGGTATCTTAAGCAATGGCGAATCCAACGTTTTTTACACCTTCTATTGAAGTGACATCGGATATTAAATTATTACTACTCTCTTCACACAATATCTGAATAACATATGACAATTTTATTAAATTTTTAAACTTGTTTTAACTACTTATTTACAGCGCCCCACATACGTGTATGACATTGTTAGGTTCAGTAATGTCAAGTTTGCATATTGTAACGTATATATATGTTATGTATTACATACGATCAGACGCCTATACCAATAAGTACATACATATACATATACATATTTATATTCACATGAAATATTCTTAATTGCGTGTGACCCACATGTGTCCTCTTGTATGTGCACACATACACACATAGATATGTACAAATACTATATGAATATTCATTCACAACTCTGGTCATTTATACCATCGCCCAACCAATATTTTGCGCTCAACAGCTGACCACTGCTATTGGTCAGTGTTGATTCCCAGGTAATTTGTAGTAAACACGCCAACAATTGTTACTAGTTCACATCATTAATTATTTCGTATGAATCTAAACGATAGACATCGACAATTTCATATATATTGAGCTCAATTCAAATAGGTAACTGACATTACATATATATATATGTGCGCTCGTAGGCGTGTGGTCATTAATTATATGAACATACATATGCACATATATACATAAAAAGTATATCAAATGGTATTAACTTACATTTCACAAAGTACTCAATAAATAACTTTCATTACATTTTATTTCTTACCATTTAATTTAATTATTTTCAAATATTGATTGTTCTAAAATGTAATAATAGTACACGTATTTATTTCGTTTGCAAGCAACAACAATTACTACCACATTTTACTCGTTTATTTGACGGGCTACTCGTCGCTGTCCGCTTGATGGCTGACCGTTTCCGATGTTCATCATACGCAGTGTCATTCGTCGGTTTGATCAAGAACAATCATGTTAAATATTGATTCCGCGTGGCAAATAAGTGAACAGATTAAATGTAGAGTTTTATCTTTGAAGTTGCAGCAATATTAATGCACATACATATATAGTTGAAGTGCCTTTTTTTTCGTTGTTGTTGTTTTTTATAAACTGTTTGCTTTAATTGCGCTGATAATTTTATTTAATTTGTAATTGAGGCGGGTCAAAAAAAAAAAAATTAAAATAAGGAATATCATATTATAACGATAAAATTATATTAAGAGAAACAATTTATAAAGTTTTGCAAATAAATATACATAAATTGATCGCGATTAAATGTTATGTTTTTTATATTATCTCTTGTATTTAAACAATTACAGGGTGTGCTTATTGCATGAAAATAATATATAATGAAAAATAATTATAATATATATATATATATATAAATAAAAAAAGTACAAATTATGCTCGTAGAAGCCAAATTTTAAATAAACATTTGCATAGTAAATAAAGTGCTTTGAATAAATTAGTCAAAAAGTAAAAATGAATAATAATGATACATAATTCATGAATAATAAAAAAAATAAAACTTTTAATAAATAAAATATAAAAAAAAAACTATGGACTGAATTAAAAATAAACATTTTAAAATATCTTTTTCCTACATTGTAACCTAAATTAAAAAATTTTTTACAAGAGAAATATGAGAAAAATAAGAAATAAATAATTTTTTTTTTTAATTAGATAGTTAAAGTAATAGAAAATATTAACAAGAAATTACGTTTTGAGTGAAGAGATTAACTAATATCTTTTGAAATATATAACATTAATTAAAATTATAAAAAGTACATGTGAAAAAAAATCACAACAATATTTATATTTAATATTTAACGAATTAAGTTTATTCAAATTATTGCAAATGATTAGTGCTTTATATATTTCTCTAAATAAATTTCGAAATGTAATTTATTTTATACTATAATATTAATTAATTATAATTTTATTTGCCGCGGTATTTTTAAAAATATGATATTTGTTAGACTAAATAGAAAGTCATCTAAAACGGTATACCCTGTAATTGACATAGTGCACGGCAGCCATTAAGGAAGGAGTTTTTATTAAAAATGCATACTCCATTATTTTTCAGCCTGAGTAGTTAAACGGTGCTGGTCTGCTGCACACAAAATCGAAAGTAATAATAATACATAATTAAATAGCGCAAGTTATAAGTAGTGAAAATAATTTAAGAAAAATGAAAGCGATAATTTGGTTTATTTATATAAGCAGCATTGTGATTTTGTTTGTACAAGCCGATGTGCAGGATAACGGTAATTGGATATAATTAATTAAACTTACTTAAAATATTAGTGTTCTAAATGTAATCTATTTAATAATAGATTTACTTTTTTTTACTCAAAAGTGCTCTTAATTTGTATGTGTATCTATTTTGTATTGTTTATTTTTTTTCTTTGTTGTCATAAAAATATTTCGCTTAGTTCGTATCAATTTTACATAATTTCTGGTTTTAAATATCCCAATAAGCATTTGACTTAAACATTGCCATTCAAATGTTCATATGCACGACACAACACTGATTTTCAAACTATCAGTTGGGGAAATAAAATGTCAAGTAAATTCTTAGCAATTTTTTCACTTAATTTTTTGATTGCAAAAAAGTAATTGTTTACCAGTTTATTGATAAATATATTTATAAAAAAACAATTTATCTCTTCGAATATGTTTTTAATTAAAACATTTACCACTACGGATGTTTCACACGACGAATATAAATATCTCCATTTTATTCTACTGTATGTAATTGCGGCCGCATAGCCGAGCGGTCAGTACTGCGTCCGGCTATTCGGAAGGACATGGCCCGGTTTCTAGCTCGACCAATATCCACAAATTATGAAATATTAATTTTTTAATTGCGTTTGCCACCTGACAGGGAATTTCAGGTCCTCTGAGTGTATTTCTGACTTGAAATAATAGTTCCTCATAAAAATCTATTGCCTACACGGAGGCCGCCTTGTATAATTTGTAGGTCTCTTCATTCGTCGGAAAAATATCAGAGTGCATAACACAAGTTGGAGTAGGAGCGAAAATAAGTAAATTCAAAAGCTTTATTAAAAGAATGTGTTCATTGAGACGGACACAAAAAAGCAAGGAAAATTTCCAACGAGTGCCGCTTCGTGAGCGAGAGTTTTTAAAGTTACCGAGAGAATGTGTTGCAAATATTTTTAACCCCAACGAATGGTTCGAATAGCAGAGTGAACTCTTGTATTACGTAAATTTCGGCCCACGTACCTTTATCCTATTTTCTGTTCGCTCCCGCTGTATAGGAGGCGTTGATAGTTGAGCTCCTTAAGCGGCTTTTTGCATGGACTATGTAGCGTTCAAAGTTAAATCAAAAATCATACAAAAATATCACAGTTGTTGGTCAAAATGGCTGCAGTCCCTCTTAGAGCTCAAATTTACATAAATACTGAAGTACTTGGGACCAGCCTGTCTCTGCTTTCTTATAATTAGGAACGGATTTTACCTAACCGAGATAATGTGAAAAGTGGCTCGATGTTCGGTAGAAAGCATAGTTTTCCACCAGCAGCAACCAATTAATACAACTTGACGATCGTTATAGATTTCTGATGAATTTTGCAGTGATTAGAAAAGTGTTTCGAATTTACTCGGTTATTTAAGGGTTGTGCGTTCAAAAGTTGTCAAGGAATTCCTGCTCCACTTTCAAGTAGAATAAAGATATTTCGAAGTTTAAAATCCCTGGGCATTGCTTAAGGGAGCCTTCATGCCTTAAATGCATTGTTTACTAACAGATTAACTGAACCCGATACACGGTGAGGAAAGCTAAACCCGTTTATTGTTCATTGGATTTATACAGCGGTAGTTAGACCCATTTTATAGTGTGGGGTAACTGTTTGGTCGCCAGCAAACTGGACAGAGTTCAGAGGTCGGCAGCTATTCTCATTGCGGAGGCTCTACCCTCGACTCCATTAAAAGTCCTGAAAATTTTTGCAATTTCTTTACCCTGGATCCGTAGGACAATCTTCAAGCGAGATGCAACGCTACTCAGACTGGGATGCATCGTGCAGTAGGGCATGTCCGGATGGTGTCTTTCGCACAATATCTCCTCCACGAGAATCCCGGACAGGAATGAATGGGAGAAAATAAATACTGTGCATTGGAGTGACAAAGCCATCTCCATGGATGGTTTTAAACTAAAGCTTAACCAAAGTACTTGTAATGTGACTGGACAGCTTTGACATGCATTGGACGGTAAAAGAACCAGGTTAAATCGGACTTTACGGCGGGAGAATGTTATACTTTTGAAATGATTTTCGTCGAGGCTACAGAGATGAAGAGGAGGAAGATTTCGTCGAGCACTACCTCTGTCATTGTCCAACCCTAACACGACATAAGTATCTAGCATATCACTTCTTTCACTGTCTGGCTGACGTAGTAACGGTTGATATAGACAATATCACATCGTTTATAAGGCACACGACATGGTCCGTACATCTGGGAAGATGAGAAGTAAACTGCAGTGGTTTCAAACTGGGCTTTGATCGGTAGCCGAATCAACTCGACTGAACTCGACCCTACAGATTTGCTACATACACTTCATGACCGTTTGGGATATGTTCCAATGTTTCCCTCATAACTATCTCCTTCAGTTCTTGCATATTTCATTGCTTTGGACTTGTCCTTTGGAATTCCACCTAATCCTGGTCCGTCTTCCATTATAAAGAGCCTTTAGAACCCTAAGGATTTTCATTTTAAGCCATCATCCATTTTCTTCAGAGAATTTTAAATATTAATATTATTGTTGAATATTTGTAGATCACACTGAGATTTGTTCGAAATGTGCTGATGCCTCTTTGCCAAGATGCGAGAGTACAGACGAAGAAAGATTGGATAAAAAAGTGGACTGTCAGTTAGAAAGATGTGTTGTAGGATTGGGTAAGTAAAATATGTGGATGACATAGAAAGTTAGAAAGAGAAAGATGCAAGTTGATGGAGAACAAAATTTGCTAAAAGTGAAAGCGGAAAGAGAAGGAGGTGTTAGAGCAGAAACTTATGATTTTGTATTATGTTTAATTATGTGCGACTACAGAGGAGTCTTCCACTTGTATTATTAATCTCACCCTATTCATTTTATAGACACGGAAACTAATTACATATGCCTTATGGAGTTTCAAAGCCCTGAGAGCTCTATTCAAGAGTCTAAAGGTGATGGGATAGAAATAACAGTTCAACCCGTGCCAATAGCGTTACAAATGGTTCCAACAACCGAGAGCTCGAAAGATATTTCGAAGGAGATCAACGGAGAGACGGTTGAACAATTACAAAGTAATGCCCAAAATACAGAACACAATGCGGCTTTAGAGACTGAAAGCGTTGTGGAGCAAGCAGACAAAATGCCGGAAAAAGTAGAAGAAACACAAACAGAGGAAAGTGAGCATAAGGAAGAACAAGCCGCGGCAGTTAGTGAAGATAAAGTACCACCTGCACAAGAAAACCTAGCTGAGTCTCCGGAAATTCCTGAGACAAGTGATGCGGCAGTTGCTGAGATGCCGTTAACAGCAGACGGAGATGCCATTAATACAGCAAATTCCCCAGATTATGCTGCTGATGCGCCAGCCAAAGAGGACAGTGAATCTCAGTTACCCGAAGAACAGCCAGGAAGCGCTGCGCCTGAAGGAGACAAGAAAGCAGAACAAACTGAAACAGAAAATATGAGTGATACTCACGAGGAAGCTGCTGCAGTTAATGAAAAACCAGAAATTAATGACGGGGAAACAGCAGACACGGATAATACTGACAACGAGACGAACATTGGGACACAAATACAAATTACTAATGCTGAAGGCGATGATGTGATAAGTGAGCCAGCCGATAATATGACAGATCAACCACCGATTGCTGCAGCGACTGGCAATTCATTGCCCGTGAATGCCGATAAGTCTCTCAGTTGCTTCTCATGCACAAGCTCGGAGGATACAAAGTGTGCAAAAGGGCCGGGCAGGGCGATTAACTGTCCGGCAATGGAAAATAAACAAAATGGTTGTTATACCCTATATAAAGGTGAGTTGATTTAAGATACTGCTGTTGTGTTGTTATTATAGCGGTACACCAACTCCGCTTAGGAGCAAGCTTGATTAGTCTAAGTAATCGAGGACATGTAATGGGGGGCTCTGGAAATGAGATAAAGAGGGGTTTTTGATTTAAGGGACATGCAAGATGTGGTTAGGATTGTGCGGGATCTCACTGCATGCAGAGCATACGTTGGGTATGTCGGGGTTAAGTCTGGATAAGTAGGAATTGCATCGACTATAATAATATACAGATCTTAATTGAGTCAGTATTGAACGGGTCTTTTGAGACAACTCAAGTTGTGTTGTGGAAGACATGCTGATTGTGCTGCTAAGTTCGGTTGGTGCGTAAAGGACAGGAGGAACAGGCCGCAATTGGTTTCGCGAAAGTAACTATATTTCTCGGTTAAAGTGGCGGGATCATCAAGTATTATTGGAGTGATCAAAGACAAATTTAGCACCTTGGTAGTCCCCCCTGAATATCTTCCCTGGATAAATTTAGGGCCACGCTGTCGTTTGCGACTCCCTTGTCGCTAAAATAGCTCGCGCACTTCTCCCAGTCTAAGAACGGGTACGGTCACCTCCTCGCTCATCGCGTCTTGTCAGGTTAGACAACGATTTCACTGTGGTCCAGTCCATGGTTGCCTTAGAGGGGAGGTTGCATAACCTTAAGTATTCCTGACACTTTTCCCGCTTATGTTGACAGACTTTTCGCCGAATCATCCTATTGAGATCCCTTATAAGAGGATTTCCATAATCGGTTTGACATAGAGAGTTGCGTCTGAAAGTTAAAACAGCCGCTTTAATGGAAAATTTAGGGCGGATTTCCAATATTCATGTAATTTGAGATACTCGTCTGACGCAGTAGCCGAGAGTCATGTGTACGAAACCTCATCATAAAAATTCATTATTTGTTTTGAGGTAAAAGTTGAGACTTGGAATAAACTCATGTCCCTCCATTTGTTGGATAAACATCTAGACACACACTCCAAATTGGAGGAGTAACTTGACCGTCAACTCATCATAGAAATATACTCGTACATATTCGGTTATTTGAGACACAAACCCTGGATAATATATATTGGTTCAGAAGAATTTAAATCGGTGGTTCTAGCTGTCTTTTTCCCGATAATTTAAGTGAAGATTCTATTCAAGAGGCCTAAGCATTTTTCTTATAATTCGGCAGTATGAAAGTACACAAAGTCGCGATATATCATTAATTTTGGTGGACCATTATATTATTATTATTATTATATAGTTTTTACTCTCTGAGCCAAAGAGCGATAACTTCTTGCTGGTCTTTCCGTAGTTGGAGCTCACAGAAGCGAGTGCATCACTTTATCTTAACGGCCCCACTCTGATACTAGAAACAAATTGGAGTTAGGATTTTTCTCGCTCCCTTCCGGAAGAAAATTGAACTGAAATTTTTACAATTTTATATTTCCACTCTTTTTTAGCTGACACAAACATCACCACACGTGGCTGCATATCCGAACTCACTACTGAGGGTCTCAAATACTGCAAGTCAAATACGAAAAAGTGTTTTCTATGCTACGATAAGGGTTGCAACAATCTGCTGGCGCCATCAACTGCTAGCCGAAATATTGGAGCCTTCAGTTTTTGTTTGGGTATCGGAAGTTTGATTTTTATTAAAATTATGATTAATTAAAAAAAAATTTTTTTTTTGCATCATTTAAAAATATACATACAAGTCAAATGTGTGAGTGTTTGGAGTTGCCATACATCTTTACATCGAATATAAATAAAGCAAATAATGAAACCGAAACTGGCATATTTTTGAAACTTTTCTATTTATTTTTAGTCACGGTGATTGTAGCAAATGACTTACATACAAGTGTTTAAATAATAATAATAATATAATTTTTGACATGTAAAATTGTTAGTAAGTGCAATATTTTCACGGATGTATATGTACATATATAAATATTTTAATTCTTGTTGTGTATTCATATTTATATTTTACGAATTAAACAGCCTTTCCAGCTATTTTTAACGCAAACGCCACAATGTCAAAACACCGAATGCCAACAAGCCATTTGACAGTAGCAAATATGTGGCACCGCCTTTCGTATTACAATTAGCTGTAGTGCAAGTTTGACAGATCGCGACCTTAGCATCATTACAGATGAACTGATCTCTAGGATTTAAATCGATAAGACAGCCGCGAATAACTAGATCGGTTTCTGGAAGGAAATTTATATAAAATATATTTAGTAGTTATTGCTTAGAAAGCTAGGAATATAAACGTTTTTACTTTGAGAACATATTTATAAGGGTTTGGACGATAGAACTATAACAACTATACCCATATAAAACAGCTGATTCAATTAGCTGTATGGGCAGCACTGTTGCAAATAGTAATGCCCCGCCACAAAGCCATGGCAAAAAACATAGTCAAAGCTACCAAATAAATTTTAGTTTCTTCCTATTGTTAAAAAATGCTGATTTCATTGAATTTTTTCTTTTCCTTTTCTCGAATTTTTCACTATCTCGGATCTTCTTTTAAATAAAAATTAATCTCATTAAAAGGGATGTTAAGCTCAACATGTCTATATAGCAAAAGGCAATATTCCGAAAATAAAGTGGTATTGTAAAGCGTAAATAATTTCCGAAGAAAATTAGCAATGAGCGAAATGACTTAGGGAAAGATTTATTATTCCTCCCACTACCATACTGTTGTGAAAATATCAAATGCGAATAATAGATGAAAAAGAAATACCGAAAACAACAGCATGTTCTAGTGCGCTAGTACCGAATGTTCTGTTTCGAGAACACTTATTAAAAGGTGAGTTCGAGCAGCTGATGAAGGAGATAAGAGAGCGGCAAACACTGCCAAAGTTAGTTGTGAAATAAGTAGAGTGTGAAAGTTTATAGCTAATTGCGGTGTATAATAAAGTGAGTTCAGTAATAAATAAATAAGTAATAAAGAAATGTTCATTATTAAATTAAGAAATTGTACAACAAGTTTAGTGACCATTACTTAATAATTCAGTGATCGAAGAACTTTAAAAATCATCGAAGCTTATATATCGAAAATCATTACAATTTGTGTCAGAAGTGGCATTGTTGAATAAATCTTGAAGTATTAAATGAGAAAATGGACAAGGTTTAGGATTTGACGATACTGCCCCTTCAAAGGCAAACTGACAAAGCGAGGATTATTTTCCACCGGAAATCACTGTAGCGAGAGGCTATGGAAACCAAAAAGACATCCATGAAGAATGTAAAGAAAAAAGAGGCTGATGAATCTGAGAAATTGGTCAAAGACTGCGCAAAACTCAAAAAGATTGAGATTGAAACACATGTCCTAAGCATTCATTTGAATCGCCAAACTAACATTCCGAGGGTTAAAATACCATCTTTTGACAGCACAATTCCTTTCCAGGTCTTTAAGCTACCATTTGAAAATACGGCTTAAATGAACAATCTCAGTACAGGAAGAGAAAACTGCTGCCTTACTCTTAGCATTGACTCTTCCTGCGGCGAAGGACTTGTAAATAATTTCCGAACAGGGCAGAGAAAACTTCGAGGCAGTAAAGCAAGTAATGAAAAGGAAAATATACCAGATAGAACTGTAGAGCTGCATCCAGAAGCCCAAGGAGACACTGCAAGAGTTTGCTTGGGAGATTGAGCTATAGACTCATTTGGCCCCTTACCTTTACGATATATTATCCGCGATTTTTTGCAGGGGCCAAATGAATCTACAGGTACAACAGTAGAATGAGGAGTGTCATTAAAGCAAAACGAGAGAGACACAGCACCTTTGTGTAGACCAGTGTACAAAGCGTACCGTGTGAAGATGGAAAGTCCTGTGGTGATGAATGACGTCCTGGAAACACTGAAGTTCCTCAAAGAGAATAGTGGTAGGGGTGCATCCGCCAAAAGGATCAGTGCCAGAAGCCTTACAACTGTAGGCAGTAAGCAAGTCAAGGAGGGCCATCTGACAGAAAATATCCAATGCAGGCAGGCAACTTGAAAAGGAGGTGGGAGATGTTACATGAATCTGTTGAAGCGGCTGCGTAAAAGCCCAATATTATAAAGCAACAGGATCAAAAGGACATAAGTAAGGAATTGTGGTGTGGCTTTTGAGCCTTAAATGAATGAAAATGCTGACTCTGAGATGTCATAGCTGTTGGGAAGATTCATACAAAGATTTCAAACCGTAGAATGACATGGTGAATCGGACCACACCATTGGCAGACCTAGAAACCAGAGGAAGGTGGTCCACTTGGGGAGACTTGAATCGTTCGGAAAATATGTACATATGTGATTGGGACGATCCAGTAATTGAACCGGAAGGATGTGAGAAATCATCGGGCTTATTTAACGAAAATCTTTACACCAGCTTTCTTCGTATAAATTCAACCGAAATAAAGTATTGATATTTTCGCGCTAGATTAATAATGACACTTACGCCAAGTACCCCAAAAGCATTTCTTATCATCCGCTGTTTGCACTGTATTTGTGCATTTTGCGCCTGTGAGCTTATCCGCTTCCCACCGACACTGGGTATCCTCATCACTACGACAACGAATGCAAGTGAAATCTGCTTCAGCCGCATTATTACAACCATTCTCATTGGTGCAAGTAGTACATTTTTCACTTGATGCGGTGCACGCCGCTTGATCTGTTTCGCCGAGATCGTAAAAGCAGCCACGTGTCATCACCCCATCATCAGCGGTCAGCGTGTAACATTTACCTTCCGCATAGTAAGGAATTTTATTAGCACAATTTTCGGCCGTGCTTGCAGCTTGTGCCGCCGTACATTGTGCATTGTCTTTGCTGCTGCATTTAATGCACTTTAACGATTGATCCACCATATAACTCAAGCTATTACAGTTGGTAGTGTTACAAGTTTGACACTTCTCATCAACGCTCTTGGCACATTTATTCGCCTCACCCACATCCGAAATGCAGCCGCGTGTCACGTGCGTTTCATCACTGCCATACATATAACACTTGTCATTTTCTACATACTGCAGACATGGCAAGGCTGCGCTACTACTGCTGCTCTGTGTATTTGCACAATCTGTGGTATTAGCACATTGATGGCAGCTAATGCGGCTTTCCGGGAAAATGCCTACGTTACACGCGCCACCTGTGCACATTTTGCATGTCTTTTCGTCGGTGCAGGTTTTTTGTAGTTCCTCGGTGATGCAGCCACGTTCAGTTTTCGATGCCAATACACTTATCATGCATTGTGTATTGGATTTGTCGCAAATGGCACTCTGAAGTGTCGATGCATCGGTTTGCGCACACTTGGGATCGGTTGTTGAGTCGCAGGTCTTGCAGATGCTTTGATTGTTGCAATTATCACCACTTTCGCAATGGACGCAACTAGGTGTCGTGCAGTTAGCCAAATCCTCGTCTTTCAAACAACCACGTGTAATGGAGAAGTCATCTGTGGAGAAGAAAGTGAAAGTTATTGATGAGTTAAAGCTAGAAAATATGTTCATAATCAGTTAAAAAAAAATTGAAAAATGTATGAAAATATGTAATAAGTTTCGGTTTAAGGTACTCGATTGCAGAAGATGCAATAGGTGAGTCAAAAATACCATATACTCTCGTAAACTGCAGTGAGCAAACAAAACTCAAATTTATTTTTGGATTTGTGGTAGGAGAGGGCTTACCGAATGAGTGCTTAACCACAATTCAAGCCACGCACCGAAGGACAATGTTGCCGAGATGCCTTCAATCTACTTATGAGCGTTTTTACTAGCGGTAAAGAGGTCGAATTCTAGCTCGCTGGTAGGTCTGTTAATGGATCATTGCCTTTTGGTGTAGAATGATGTGTGATTAATTAATTTTCTATAACTTTTGGATGTTGGTCGATCCAGAATTTGAACCATGGCCTTCCGAATTTCTATACGCAATACTAACCACTTGGCTACGGCGGTAGCCTTCCCGCTAGAGGAATTGTATAACGGGTGGAGTCGATTTACAATTCAGAATATTGAAATATGGCGGTGAAGTACTGGTGGAAGCATGCCCAACGATTGGAACATGGATGTACTCTCCGTGTGCTCTATGTAGGCCCAGTGAGACGTGTGCCAATTATCGAGGAAATACTCTTCTCAAGATTACATATATGTAAGGTCTAAAAACTGAAGAACTGCTAGTATCACAACAACAACAGCGTAGTACACTCTGTTATCTTATTTAGCTTATTTCCTTCGGATGGTAGAAAGTTAAAGTTTTCTTTGTAGAAAGATCAGTTGGGTGAGGTCGTTGATGCATTTGGTGTCCTAATTTGGCCCCAAATAGTGAAAGGCTTGGGTTCAAAATCCAGGTGTCGTACTAACATCCAAATAAATATAGAAAAAATTAATTTAAATAAAAAATTAATCTAAACTGTCAACTTCTCCGAGTGTACTTCTGACATGACCTAAAAAGCGGCGGCTTAGTATAAACTGTAAGTCCCTCCTTTTATAGGAAAAATATCAAACGGCAAAACCACAAATTGGAGGAGGAGCTCGGCCAAAAATCGCTTACGCGGTTACAAAGTTTAAATTTTATATATAATATATAATAGGAAGGCCAGGGTTAGAGTTCTGATTCGACAAACGTCAATAACAATAGGAAATCAATTTTTCGAATTGTAGTCGCCTCTCGGCAGGGAATGTCAACTCCTCCGAATGTACTTCTGACATGACATAAAAAGCTCCTCATAACAAAACATCAGCCGTTCAGAGGTGGCTTAGCATAAACTGTGGGACCCTCCACTTATAGGAAAAACATCAAGACGCAAAACAACAATTTGTAGCACCAGCTTGGCTGAATGAAGCTTCAGCGGTTACAAAGTGCAATTTAATGTGAAATGTTTTATTTAATATTACAAAAAAAAAAAAGCACACACACTTGGCATGTAATAAATCAATAGACCATCAAAGATAAGGTGATAAGGTAAAATTGAACTTTACGAGTAATTTATCATATGTGTTGTACAAATTCTCATACGTACATATTTACATGACACATTAAAATATATTTATAACACAAGAAAATTATTGTAATGTCCGAGATCGAGATCGGCTAAGCAGATGATACAATTTTATATATAATATTTCAATTTTCATTCGTCATGCTGAGTTATCGATAACAATAAAAAATAGATAAATAACTAATAATAAACCGGTACATAGACTTCAATATAATATAAGGGTGCTAACACACTATACAATAATATTTGTTTGCCTACTAACTTTATTCTTTACAAACAAATTGCAGGTATGATATATACATACATACATATAAATGTAATGAAAATCATTGAATTTTCCAACGTTGTTGATATATTTCTTTGTTTTTTGCATAGAAAAAAAAAAGAATCTAATTGTGGTAAACATTTTTTTGAAACCTAAATTTATTGGTTAGATTAGCTTTTAACATTATTCAATATTTTTCTACTCTTACCTCCTACCCTATATATACATGATAGGGTTATTCATTTCGTGGTTTCAAAAGTATACGGCATCTGTCAAACTTAAGTGTCAGACCACGCAAGTTTTGTTTAGTTAAACGTCCGACATTAATGAAAATTCACCGCTTAAAATTGTTCAAAACCTACAAAAAAATTGTGATGCGAACGAGGCCGGTCACGGTTCGTGCTTTTAGAGAAGATTGTGGTGTACATAATCGTCCAACCACTCCAGAAATTGGTGAAATTTAAAAAAAAAATCGAATCGATCGACTTTATTATAAGCGAAATTTCCCAGCCTCCCAATCTCTCACCTCAGCGATGTCAGCGGGCCATTGAGATGTTGCGATTGGACACCGTTAGATTTTTGAGTACCGAGTTATTCGCGTGGCAGTCATTTGAATGATGTAATGTTTCACATACATACACACATATGTATATGTGTATGTCAAGGTTCAAACTTACACAATAAACAAGTATATTCAATAATAAAGTTTTTTTGAATGCATTTAATTTATGTTTATTTTCGAAACCGCAAAATGAATAACCTGGTATATATCTACATATAAATTAATGCACTTCCAATAGGAGCTTAGGGAGTAATAAAAATTGACCGATAGCCTTATAAAAGAGAACAATCATATGACAAACAATATTGATGAGTTGAGTAATATTCACACATATGTACGAGGTGTGACAATTAAGTGATGAGACTGACTCCATAAAAATCGTAAATTTCAAAATTATTCTACAACTCTGCCATTCCCTTCAAAGTAGTCCCCTTGGGCAGCTATACAACGATACCAACGCGTTTTTCATGCTTCGTAACATTTCTGGAACGCTTTGACTGGGATGTTCCCGGGTACCCTCGTCACGGCCGCCTGGATGTCCTCAATCGACTCAAAATGGGTTCTTTTGAGAACGAATTTTGTTCTACGGAACAAAAAGAAAGTCACAGGGTGACATAAGGTGTGGCGCATTGTCATGACGAAGAATCCAGTTACGAACGATGTCTGGGCTCACCCTGTTGATGTGCGTGTCCGCAATCTTTTGAGTACTTGGCGATAGTAGACTATATTTACGGTTTGCCCCGATGGAAGAAATTCCTTGTGGACGATTCCACAGCTATCATCGTCATCGTTTTCCACGCCTCGTCTTCCACGTTTTCACGCCCCTCCTTAATCTCTTTATGCCATCGAAACACCTGGCCACGGCTAAGAGCACTATCACCATGCCGTTCTATTTATTTTTATGTTTATGATTGTGCCTAATTGTTTATTGGTAATTAGGTTGTGTTAAATCTTAGCACGCCATAGGCGAGTTTCAAAAATTAACAAAAGAGGCCATTTTGAAGAGGAAGCCTAACGGCGCCTGTCTTCGAATTGGACGTTGAAACAATGCAGGTGGGCCCTACCATCCACAGATACGCGAAAGGAGTAAAAATCCTGTTTATTATCCAACAGGATGACATCTCCTTCCTCTCATAGATCTGTACAAAATTTCTTTCTCCCTTTACCCAGCATATTCCAGATTAATTCCGTCGGCATTACGAACAGTCTACCCGTGGTAAACATATACATGTCTCTTGAGGGGCTTGGTTATGTTTCCATAACGTACAAGACGTGGCTTGAAGTTGTTTTACAGCTCTGAAGAAACTTTGACCTTTGAACGGTTAACCCGAGCACGCTCGACAGTGATGAATGTCTGTCTAAATCCCTCTTTTCGAATCGAGCAGTATTGAGCGGAAAAACAGATCTGTCTGAAGAATGCGTCTAGGTATCAACTAAACGTCTCCAGCAAGGTCTGTTGCATATTTGACATGTTTCTACGCGCCACCGAGCATCTACATACAAATAATGGTGGTGGTGGGATGAGGCTCCACTGCTGACAACCTTCGGTTTTCTCACTTCCCCACTGCGCCTGCAATAATCGCGCTCCGCAGGTTTCTGACCCTATTGGTACTTTATTCGTCCTCGCACATGGCACATAACGTTGGGGGTGTGTTTTTTCTTTGTCATTGGTCGAGCTTCTTTAACAATCTATTGCCTTTTTCTAGAGCTAACCCCTGCTAGCAGTTTGTTTTCGTTTCTTCTTTTTGCTGTTTGGCGCCAAATCTAACTGCTCCTTCCAACGAGTGGAGATCTTTCTCTTCTTCTGCTTCCACTGGCGGGTACTGTATCGAAAACTTTCAAAGCTGGGCCATAAATCCTAAGCAAAACCTTTCTCTCAAAAACTCCTAACGTCGACTCATCAGCTGTTGACTCTGCCTCTGCGCATCAGGACGGGAAAGATGAGAGACTTGTAGAGTTTGGTTTTCGTTCGTCGTGAGTGGACTTTACTGCCTGTTCAGTCCAAATTAGCACCTGTTGACAAGAGAGATTCTGCGCTGGATTTCAAGCGTGACATTATTATTGGTGTTGATACCTAGATAGACGAAATTTTCTACGACCTCGAAGTTATGACATGTCATTCTGGCTTAAAGTGGCTGACCTGTTCAACACCCCTCCTCTCAATACACCGCCTTAGGATGAGCTAACGCGAAGTGTATATATACATATGTGTATGCGTATGTATGTACATATATGTATAGATAAGCCAAACCTGACCAACAACCACAACCAATTAATCAATTGTCAGTACATACATACATATAGGCCTTTTTTGTATACCATTTTTATAGCGCTAATTCTTGGAATCACCAATATCTATGGATTATAGTACAATATTAATAAATGTGACCATTGTAGCCGATAGGTAGGTAGCATGCACCATCGGCTAGTGGTCGTGGATTTGCAGCCTGATAAAACTAACATCGTTGCTCCATATATTTTATGCTCGGTTTCATTATAAGCACTTTTTAATTGAATTCTAATTTAATTTTTGTAATGTTGCCAATTTTCCTTGAGCACTGCCGTTTAAATATTTTTGTCGATAATAAAATTAAAATTTTTTGTAAACTTTCATATGCTGAAGAATTTTTAAAAAATTAAGTTAAAAAAATCAGTGATAGCTACTAAAAAATTTGCAATGTTGCAAAATTTCTTAGTGCCTTGGATATGCTTATGAGTGAGTATCGAAAAAGTCAATTAAAGTTTTGTGAGTTTTAATATGTAGAAAGGCTGCTAAGAAATTTATTGTATCGTAAATTTCATAAAGGTTAGTGATGCGATTCTAGAAAAACGTTTGCACTGTTGTCAATTTTCATCAAACATTACGTTTACTTATGATTGTCGTAAAGGAAATCAAATTTTTATGATTTATCGCATGCAGATAAAATGCTGAGAAATTTGATTTCTTGAACAAGACACTCTGCTTGATACAAAATACAAGGTTGCCAATTTTTTTCATTAAGGCTAAGTTTATTTATAAGTGGCGTAAAATATAGGTAAAGTATTGGGAATTCTATTATGCAAAAGAATTGCTAAGAATTTTAGTTTCTAGAAAAACAATTGAGAGAAATTTAAAACTTGCGATGTTGCCAATTTTCTTTGCACATTGTTTTACTTATGATTGCCTTGATGGAAGCTAAAGTTTCGAGAATTTCCATATTATATAATTATTTTCCATATTATATTACATTATAGCAAATCAGTTTTAGTTTTGGAAAAACGATTACAGCGTTGCCATTTTTCTAAATAAATAACTTACATATAGTTTTGGAAAACTGATTGTGTATTGCGGTGTTGCCAATTTTCTATGTGTACAGTATTTACTTTTGATTGCGGTAACAAAAAAATTAATGTTTTTTGATTTGATTTATATGATATGTAGATAATTGTAAAGCGGTTATAGTAAAACAATTCAGCGATTTTCTTCAGAAATTATCTGATTGAAAATTTATCAAAAACTCTCTATTCTCTACTTCATTTATTCTTCTTATATTGTATTGGTGTAGAACACTTAATTATTGTTATCAAACACAGCCAAAACCAACGGAAAACATTGTTAAAATATATGTATAAAATTACACTATTATACATAATATTTATAATAAATATTAAGGCTTACCATTCACTCTTGTAAAGCATTTCGTTGCATTCTCGCACGTTGTGGTTGCTACACCATTTAAGCAATTCTCGTCTTTATCGCAAGACATGCAGGTAATATTTGCAGCAGCTAATAAAAAAAATTGCAATATATTATAATTTATTATTATTTTTCATATAATCAAATCTTTTTGTTCACCTGTGGTCTCAAGTAGCAGTAAAGTAGCAAAAATGGCAATAATACGATTCACATTCAGCCACATCATTTCAATATTTTTATTGATTTCAATCTTTTGTTTTAATATTTTTCGTTCTATTTTAAGATAAGACAGTTTGATATGGTAAATATATATGTTACTTCCCGTGGTGCTCTCTATAATTATTTTTCTCACTTCACTTAATTTCCACTTAATTTGTAAACACTTCCGTTCGCCTATAACGCTACACGACTTCTGATCCCTGCAACTTTTTACATCAATATCCAATACTCGGCGGTTTCGCATGGCCAATACTCATTTGCACAATCTTATCACAAAAATTTATGTGTGTTATCAAGAGGTACGTATATGTACTACATATGCACAAATATATGTGTGCGTTTGTATGTTTGCATTTAGTTGAGTTGATTTGTGAAAACGATTGGCAGTACATATTTGTTGTAAATTTAAAATGCTTGTTTGTTTTTGTTTTTCGTAGTTTCTTATTTTATTTAGGTTGCGTGGTTATTTTTCATGCGCCACTACTGTGGCAGAGATAAATTTTAATTGTAGCTGTTATACCGACACAGGGTGTACTGAATGAAGCAGTAATTTGCATTTTGGTGCAGCTATAGGGATTATAATTATAATATAATGCCGTATGCTTACTTTTTCAAAACTCTGTAACGTATTTAACATAACTCAGGAGTTAAATTAATTTCTCAATATATGCCAACTTGTAGCTTCTTCTTCTTCTTTACTAGCGCAAACAGTGTTTATAACCAAATTAACAACAGCGCGCCATTTCTTTCTTCATTTCGCTGTTTTGTATCAATAGGAAATACACAGTGAAGCCGCGTACTTCTCCATCTGATCTTTCCAATGGAGTGGGCGGTCTTCCTCTTCCTCTGCTTCTACCGGCGGGTACTGCAAGAAAAGGTTCTACCCGAACCTGACGGAGCTGAAGTCCGTATACGAGGTGTGACAATTAAGTAATGAGACTGATTATATTGCCGCGACCTTAAATTTCACTTTCTCTTCTCCCGGCATTCTTCTCCTCTTCATTGATATATTTGCCACGGCTTTAGATTGTTTAGTTCGCCTGCAATGGAGTGTTGAGTAAACGTGGGTTCGTGATGTTCGTCACGAAAATGGAAAAACGAAATTGCACAAGTACAAGTACACGAAAGATTGCGAAAGCGAGTCAACTGGGTGCGCTCAGATATCGCTCGTAACTGGTTCCCTCGTCACGACAACGTGCAGTGCCACATCGCCCTCAGTGTGTCACAGTATTTGGCATCTAAAGGGATCACCGTGTTGCAATAACCGCCTTTTTCGCCCGTTGCGTCACCCTGTGACTTTGTTTTGTTCCCTAGAATAAAATCGGTCGTTAAAGAAACCGATTTTTAGTCGATTGAGGACATCCAGGCGGCCGTGACGAGGGTACTCGCGGACATCCTAATCGAAGCATGGAAAAATCGCTGGAATCCTTGTATATCTGCCCAAGGGGTTTACTTTGAGGGAATGGCAGCTTTGGAGAATAATTTTTAAATATACGGTTTTATGGAATCAGTATAAGATTTGCGGGTATACCATATTTAGACCGCTCAGTTTTTTGCTGGCTCAGATGGTGTCGATCCTCTTTTCATGGCCAATCCTAGATTTTCCAAGTCTAATGGCATACTGTCAAGATACAAACACTTTTTTTGGTGATGAATTTTAATCTTTCATATAATACGCTTGATAGGACCTTGTATGCGATATTAAGGAAGAGTATCCCAAGGTAATGTGCGCAGACTGTGCGGTCCCTCTTTGCCTGGATTGGGCATAGTAAACTCAGGTTCCAATCGTCGGCCAAGCTTTTAGCTAATGCTATTCGAACCTCGTCGTAGTCGGGTAATGAAACGCCTTTTCTATCACTATCGATTGGAGTTTCGGGTTCATCATATCCGGGTATTTGCAAGTTGGATTTTAGTTAATAACTGTTATTTTCCTTGCATGAACATTAGGACAGAAGAGCGCCGGTGTTATATAAAATGACTACTACACTGGCACTACAAGGGTAGTGCAACTTAACCTCACTTTCACTGAAATTCATGATGAAATTCAAATTTCAAACTTGTTAAAAACTTAGATATTTGTACTAAATATGATTTGCTTTAATTTTTTTTTATTATAAACAAAAATAAATATTGTTAATATTAGTTTAAAAAAATCTTTGTATAAACAATACATATGTATGTACATAAATGGTGTTTGTTTCCACCTAACTACTATTATATGCTAGTATATGGTGTGTTTCATCTTCAGCATTTTTAAAAAAATTGTTTACATAAATACGTAGATGCAAAATTAAGTTAATTCGTACACTGTTATTTGTTCACCGTTACAACTTAAAGGATGAACTTCACTAATGTCACGCACAAAAGTGTGAACATAGATATTTGCGCCAGCGCACAACTATTGCACAAGTCCGTCTGACACGCCACACAATCGTCGCTGACATCCGTTGCAATGTTCAGTTCGCTTCTCACCGCTTCACATGCGCTTTGGCCATAGGGAATGGCAATACAGCCGAGTTGTAATTTTGCGCTATCGTTGGCTGTGTGCGAAAATTAATATATTGTAAATTTAATATTTATTTAAAAGTAAATTAACGACACTCACCTGGAATTTGTACACTGTAACAGGCGTAACCTTTGATATTGGCGCGATCATTCCGTAAAACTGCACGATAATTTTGTATCAGAGTTTCCGACGCCAGCTCCGAGACACTCTTCGATATTTTTGCAGCATCGCTAGTTGTTGTCTCACTATCGGGACAGTTTATAACAGTTTTTTCACCACAATCATCTCCGTCACATGTATAACATTGCAATACTTTGGCTGGAAGGAAATTACAGAATTTCATTATTATTTCAATTTATTAAAATATTAAAAAATCACTTTTACAAGAAATTAGTGAATAAATACTAAAAAATCAGAAGTGAGATAAAAACTTCCTGCCATTGCGACTTCGGAGCATAGCTGACAGCTTGACAGCACCGTTTATAAGCAATGAGGTATTTCAAAACCCGGGATGTTAAAAAAAACTTGGTAGAATTGATTTAACTGGCATCAGCATATCAAATATTACCTGGAATGACGTTAAATTATCTCCTACGTGGCTACTTACCAGGAGGCTCGACAGATGATGGCGCTTCTGTAGATGGCTCAGTCGTGCCATCAGTTTGACTGTCGGTTGGTGACGTCGTTGGTGCTTCAGTGGATGTAGAGGTTGATGTTGTTCCGGTTGGTGACGTCGTTGGCGCTTCAGTGGGTGCAGATATTGTCGTTTCGGAGGGCCCATCAGTTGTTATTTCCGTGGACCCAGCAGTTGTTGTCGCAGTGGACGTCGCGGTTGTGCTTTCAGTGGGTGTAGAAGTTGCTATTTCCGTGGACTCAGCAGTTGTTGCCGCAGTGGGCGTCGCACTTGTAGTTTCAGTGGGTGTAGAAGTTGCTGTTTCCGAGGTCCCAGCAGTTGGCGTTGCAGTGGGCGTCGCAGTTGTAGTTTCAGTGGGTGTAGAAGTTGCTGTTTCCGAGGTCCCAGCAGTTGCTGTTGTTGTTTCAGTGGGTGTAGAAGTTGCTGTTTCCGAGGTCCCAGCAGTTGGCGTTGCAGTGGGCGTCGCAGTTGTGGTTTCAGTGGGTGTAGAAGTTGCTGTTTCCGAGGTCCCAGCAGTTGGTGTTGTGGGCGGCTGTTGGGGTTTCAGTGGCTGTAGAAGTTGCTGTTTCTGTTTTTTTATTTTTTTTTGGCGTTACAGAGGGAGAAACCGTTTTATTTTTATGAAAAGAATATAATAATAATAATAATATTTAAATGTTAAGAAGCCAACAAAAAAATGAGCGTGTTTTGATTTTTTTTTTTTTTTTAATGGAACGCATGCGTTTTGGAAGATATGAAAGTCTGTTCAATTTTTTTTTTTTTTTTTTGATAGTGAATAATTATGTATTATGACATATATACACGTACATATTTTTTTTTTTTTTTTTGAGTAATGGAAATTTAATGTAATCAGTTTAAGTGCTCTCGCGCTTTTTTTTTTTTTTTTTTTGAGTGGCAGAGGAGTTCTAATATTTGAATTAAAATTACATTGTTTTTTTTTTTTTTTTATAAACTGCCATTTTGGCACATTGAAAGTTGTTAATATTTTTTTTTTTTTTATTTTTTTTTATTTCAATTTTTGTCTTTAATAAAAAAGTACACATCCACGCCATTTTTTTCTTTTTTTTGAGTCAATATTGCATTTCTGATTTATCAATAGGTGTGCTAAATTTTTTTTTGTTTTTTTTAAATGACGTCAGTGCACTGATAAAGATTTATACAGGATTTTTGGTTTTTTTCTTTTTTTTTTTTGTGCACTTGACTGATTTGCGATGTTGATATTCAACATAGATTTTTTTATTTTTTTTCAACTAACGGTTGTATGTAACGGCATAAAATAATCGAAATACTTTTTTTTTTTTTTTTTTATTAAATACCAAATATCAAATAATAAATAAATATGAAATATGAGTTTTTTTATTTTTTTTGGAGTGGTCGTGGCAACACCCACTTTTGATTCAAAAAGTATATCTTTTTTTATTTTTTTTAGAGAACATAATCCGATCAAATTTGACGCTTATAATTCCCTTCATTTTTTTCTTTTTTTTAAATTCGAAGCATTAAACAAAATTTTAAAAAGGCCTCCGAAAAATTTTTTTATTTTTTTTTATAACATTCTATCTGTGACCGATCTTTCGCACCCGCGTTAGCTTAATGCCTGGCTTATTTAATTTAATTTCATTTCATTTATTATTTAATTTAATTTAATATATTTTTTTTTTTTTTTTATTTTACTCTATTTTATTATCATTAATTTAACTTACTTATTATAACTTGATTTAATAAATTTACATCATTTTGATTTTATTTTTATATATATAATTTTATTGAATTTTATTTTAATTTACTTAAATTTACTTATTTTTTTCCAATTTATTTTCTTTTTATTAATTTTTTTTTTTTTTTTTATATTTTTATTTATTATTATTTTATTGATTTAAATTTAATGTAATTTTTTTTTTTTTTTTTTACTTACTTTAACTTGTTATAATTTTATATGCTTTTAATTAATTTTTTTTTTTTTTTTTACTTAAGTTTATTTTTGTTGAAATTAAATAATTTTATTATTGCATTTTTTTTTTTTTTTTGCATTTAGTTTATTTCAATTCATTCAAATTGTATTTTATTATTTTTTTTTTTTTTTTTTTTTATTATTATTTTTTTATATAATTGATTTTCTGCTAATTTTTATTTTTTTTATTTTTTTTTTTTATTTATTAATTTTTTAATTATTAAATCTTATTTTAATCGAATTTATTTAATTTAATTTAATATTTTTTTACTTTATTTTATTTTAGCTATTATTTTAAATTTTTTTTTTTTTTTTTTAAATTAATTAATTTTAAATAATTTGATATTATTATACTTTCATTGTTCTATCAAAATGTTTTGGAGTTTTTTATGGAACAGTTCCGGCGGACCTTAATATATTTTTTTTTATTTTTTTTAAAAATTACAACAATAGTTTATTTATTTACCTAATTTTATTTCATTTTTTTTTTTTTTTTTTTAATATATTTTTATTTTAATTAATTTAATTTAATATTAATTATTTTTTTATTTTTTTTTTTTTTGATTCCGATTCTAATTATTTTGTTTCTAATGAAAATAATTTTTTTGTTTTTTTTAATTGTTATTGCTTTCATTTAACTTACTTAATTTTCAATTTGATTCTTAATTAATTTAATGTTACTTTTTGAAACTGTATTTTGGAATAATTTTTTGTTATTTTTTTTTTTATTTTTTTTAGTTTTGTTTTATTTTATTTATTAAATAATTATTTTATTTTATTTTTTTTTTTTTTTTTTTATTTTATTTATTTTTATTTATTCTATTTTAATTATTTTAACTTTTTTTTTGTTTTTTTTACTTTAATAATTTTTTTTCAAATTATGATTATTTTAATTTTAATTTTTTTTATTTTTTTTTATATTTTTTATTTTGGTATATTTAACATTATAATTAATTTTTTTTTTTTTATTTTTTTTATGTTATATTTCGTAATTTTATTTTGAATTAATTTTATTTTATTTTTTTTTTTTTTTTTTATAAGTTTAGGTTTATTTTATTTTATTTAAATTATAATATTTTCTTTTTTTATTTTTTTTTTTTTTTTTGATACACATCCTTGTGGAGCAGTTTTTTCGTATTGGTTTGTATTGCTTTCAGCCAAGGCATTCAAAATTCTTTTAAATTATTCAATTTAATTGTGTTTTTTTATTTTTTTTTTTATATTATATATATACATGTTGTAGATATAATAATATGTCTTTTTTTTTTTTTTTTTTACTAAATCGTCCTTTAGCTCACCTTGACTAAAAGCACCAGCAACTTTTTTTGTTTTTTTTAAAAACACTGTTAAAAATCTCATTTTGTATGCTTTTTGTATTTTTTTTTTTTTTTTTTTTTTTGTTGGTGAATAGCACAAGCGTTGTTATCCTTTTGTGTTTTGAAATATTTGGTTCTTTTAAATTCTATATTTGAATATTTAATTTCCCTCCTTTCGTAATGTTTTTTTTCTTTTTTTTCGCGCTTGCACTTTCAAAATTCACGCGTTGTTATCACCACCGTTTTTTTTTGTTTTTTTTGATCAAAATCGTTGGAGTTTGCCGTAACGACTACCAATTGAACATTTTTTTATTTTTTTTTTTATCAGAACGTTAAGAAATTAGTGCTCACCACGCCCTTGTGATTTTTTTTTTTTTTTTTCGGGCCCACACTCTGTTATCAGCTATTACTAACGGGTATTAATTTTTTTTGTTTTTTTTGCGAAAAACAAAAATTGATAATAAAAATAAAAATAGAAGAAAAGTTTTTTTTTTTTTTTTGCATGCGTGATGATACGTGCAAAAAATATAATAAATATTCTGCTTTTTTTTCTTTTTTTTGTGTATAAGTTCTTTTAGGTGTGAAAGTGTATATGTTCCCGGAATTTTTTTTTTTTTTTTGTGTTGATGGTGAAAACTGATAAATTTTGGTTTGGTGATATTTCTTTTTTTGTTTTTTTTAGACCAACATTCGAAATTATGGTCGTCCCCCAACAGGCAGTCAGTTTTTTTTTTTTTTTTAGAAATAAAAATCTGCTGCATCAGCCGTTCGAAGTGAACTTAATTTTTTTTATTTTTTTTTAGGTCCTTTCATTTATTGCAAAAAACACCAAAACGTACACCAATTTTTTTTTTTTTTTTCTCTCTATAGTCAACAAAAGCACACCTGTCCTTATTTTTTCTTCTTTTTTTATTTTTTTTTGGACATACCAAGGGAAACAGGATCTCCTCGACTTGAACTTTATTTTTTTTTTTTTTTTTTTTAGTCAAGTAACGACAACCTAATTCCCTTTCCATGATATGACTTTTTTTATTTTTTTTTCTCTCTCTCTCTCTCTCTCTCTCTTTCTTTCTCGGAAACTCTTTTTTTTTATTTTTTTTTTATCATCCAGTTATACGCTGCTACACACTGCACAGTAGAACGGTTTTTTTGTTTTTTTTCGCGAAAAGTGGGCCTTACTTTTCAATGGCGTACTCAGTCCAAATTTTTTTCTTTTTTTTAACTAATTGCGACGATGTTAGAATTTGCAAACTCTTAGAGAAGATTTTTTTTTTTTTTTTAGCATTAGATTAATCAAGTCTCCCGGGAGGTATCACATCATCTGTTTTTTTATTTTTTTTCAAATGGCTCCCAGAAGTTTTTACCGATTCTGACTGCATTTCTATTTTTTTTTTTTTTTTGGCTTAGCTTTTAACGATATATCCCTATTATGGTTTCACTTTTTTTTTTTTGTTTTTTTTCATCCAACCATATTTTGCAAAGAAATGCCATTGCATCCATTTTGTTTTTTTTTTTTTTTTATGCCTGAGTACAGGTATTTCATTTTTATTGCTATTCAGCAGGATTTTTTTTTTTTTTTTCGGCTGACTAAGCGGCCGCATGTTCTCATAGAATTTTTGAGCGTTAATCATGTCGGCCGGCTTCTTAAGAACTTCATACAAACGCCTTTCGATTTTTTCTTTTTTTTTTTTCTTTTTTTTACTCCTCCCCTTTTCAATCAACGGAAATATGGGAAAGATATAGTTTTTTTTGTTTTTTTTCAAGATTGCTGATTTAGTGTGGTACGAAACTTTTCATCGTACCATTTTTTTCTTTTTTTTTCCCGAACTTGAAATGCCTTTTCACAGTTCCCTTATACCGAGTTTTTTTTTATTTTTTTTAGAGAGCAGGAGTGCTATTCGGGTAGAAAATTGTTTGGCTGTCTTTTTTTTTTTTTTTTTTTTAACGTCGAACCGTTCTTGTGTAATGTTCAGTCTTTGCTGCATTTTTTTGTTTTTTTTGAATCGTTGTACGCACATATAGAACACTCTCACTGCATGATTGATTTTTTTGTTTTTTTTTCGATTTGGAGACGACCAAGTACATACCTTGATGAATTTTCCGGTTTTTTTATTTTTTTTCACAGACAAGCATATTTCGGCTTTCGCCGTGGTGACTGATCTTTTTTTTTTTTTTTTTTTAAATACTCTTTCTTCTTAACCCATCGTTAAAAGTCGCCAAGCAATTTTTTTATTTTTTTTCGGGGGCAGCGCTCATAAACACGCTCCAGGCGCTCGTAAGAGGCTTTTTTTGTTTTTTTTTCCAAAGCAGCCATATATTGAACTTCAAATAGAAGTGGATTGTATTTTTTTGTTTTTTTTTCTGTGTGAATGTCAGTACTTCTCAGCTGAATCGTTCTTCCACATTTTTTTTTTTTTTTTATTTGTGCGTTTTTATATATATTGTATGTTCGCTATGGTAAATGTTTTTTTGTTTTTTTTGATCCGTCCATAGAAACTCAGAAATGGCGAGTTAGGACAACTTTTTTTTTTGTTTTTTTTGTCTGAAGACCGACGTTTCCTCGAGGTCGGACCGCTGGTGAAAATTTTTTTTTTTTTTTTTGCAGTGAACACTTAAACCGAATATCTGGCTCCATTTAAGTTCCTTTTTTTTTTTTTTTTATCCGAAGCTCCACAGCTGATTATTGCATCGTAGACATAGGTTGTTTTTTTTTTTTTTTTGAGTGCCTTCATACCAAGAGGGAGAATTACACCCCTCTCTCTCTTTTTTTTTTTTTTTTTATGAACTTGAAATTATGACATTAGTGTAGGAGAATTTATTTAGTTTTTTTTTTTTTTTTTTCTTTCACATAATGTTTACTTAAGAAAAATCACTTTGATTTATTTTTTTTTATTTTTTTTATTCTAAATAAAAATATCCCCTTCCATAGTTATTTAGATAAAAGTTTTTTTTTTTTTTTTGTACGAGATAAGGGTTGTTGCAATTGAAGAATTACAAAAAAGAATTTTTTTATTTTTTTTATAAGTATTATTTGCAACGATTATTTTTATTACCGCTAATTTAATTTTTTTCTTTTTTTTACCGTGCCAAACTGCTCTTGTCATGTGATTGTGATAAAATAGGGTTTTTTTATTTTTTTTTTAAAAAAATAAAAAAGGTTAAATTAAAATTTAAATTTGTTAAATTAAAAAAATATTAAAATATCTATTACAAAAAATTAAAAAAGATAAGAAAAAAATTAGAATATAAATCAAAAAATTAAAATAAGGAAATTAAAAAAAAACAAAGTTTATTTTAGTTTGATTTTTTTTTTTTTTTTTTTTTTATTACTATTTTTTGCGACTTTAACTAACGGGGACTTCCGTTTTTTTCTTTTTTTTAAAAACTGTTTATTATCTACTGTCTAACTATCTATTTTGCGATCTTTTTTTTTTTTTTTTGTCAAGTGCTTACACGTAGTGAGTCATCTGCCTTTACCTGGCTATTTTTTTTTTTTTTTTTAATTTCTAAAAAAAAAAACAAAGCCACAAAACAAATAACCGTTTTTTTTTTTTTTTTTTATGCACATACATATATGAATGTTTTTATTATCAAATAATTAAAATTTTTTTTTTTTTTTTTTCCTTTACTTAAACGATGTTTTGAAATTGATAAAACCTACATATTTTTTTATTTTTTTTTGTAGGTATGCACTTTTGTTTAAGCGGAAGCTTCCTCTTTTATCTTTTTTTTTTTTTTTTTATTTATGAAGTTCAAGTGTAAATGAATTATTTTAAAATATTGATTTTTTTCTTTTTTTTATAATTATGGAATTTGTTTTTGCCTTGAAATACACACACACACATTTTTTTATTTTTTTTCAATAGATAAATATTTGCTGCAACAAGTGAGCACTGAATGTATTTTTTTTTCTTTTTTTTTATATTTGATTTGTGCAACTTACGGTTTTATGTAACGGTACATTTTTTTTTATTTTTTTTCAGATATTTTGTTAAAGCTCTGCTGCTCGTTATAGGTTGGTATTTTTTTTTGTTTTTTTTAGAAAATAATAAATAAAGGGTTTTCCAAAAAGAGGTGTTACTTTTTTTTTTCTTTTTTTTCTCTCATCTTTAGTGCGGTTTGAATATAAGGTTTTCGAAAATGATTTTTTTGTTTTTTTTACGGTGAATGGATGCTATTTATACGTATATGGTCAGCGTTTACTTTTTTTTATTTTTTTTCCTTCAATTTTTTAAGGGAAAAGTTTCCGGACCGTGTTACTTCTTTTTTTTATTTTTTTTCAATTGGCTACCGAAATCTTGTGACCTCACACCTTGCAACATCTTTTTTTTGTTTTTTTTGAAAGATAAGGTATACGCCAACAACGTCGATTCGAGACTTCAAATTTTTTTATTTTTTTTCTATTGAGAGCCATGGCAGCCAATTTGTTCCTCCTCACACTGAATTTTTTTCTTTTTTTTTAAAAAATTTAATTTTTCTTTGAATATAAAAATAACAGCTCTTATTTTTTTATTTTTTTTTAACTAGTAAATAAGGCTAGGCTCGGATTAATCCCAAAACTAGATTTTTTTTTTTTTTTTATATTAAGTCCACAGATCGGCGAAAAATAGTTCAGGATCTTTTATTTTTTTTTTTTTTTTCTAGTTTTTATGAAAATTAGCATATCTACCAAGTTTGGATGATTTTTTTTTATTTTTTTTTTGGTTGAAAGAGGGAGGTTAAAGACCTGACCCCAAACGGACGCTTTTTTTGTTTTTTTTGGATCTGTGGCAGTTTATGGTGACAGCATCGCCTGCTGGAGCTATTTTTTTCTTTTTTTTCATTGCCTTCTATTGTGCATTCGTGTGACCTGGGACCCAAGTGATTTTTTTTTTTTTTTTCGGTGATATTTTGTTTATTGTCTTTTTGCATGTTCCCACAGTCGTTTTTTTTTTTTTTTTAGACTTAATTGCCTCAATTAGTTTGACTGTTTATCATAGACCTATTTTTTTTTTTTTTTTAAGCTTTTGCCTATTAGGTACCATGTGTAATACCCACAATCTCATTTTTTTATTTTTTTTTGTAGCCATTGAGTTTGAAGTTACCATGGTTACAGGAGCGGTCATTTTTTTATTTTTTTTCTGTACCTGCCTTACATTGAAACCCATCATCCCGCCGTGGATGTTTTTTTTGTTTTTTTTGGGCCCTTCTTCTATCCATTTTTCCCTGCGAGTGAAGCAGTAGGTTTTTTTTTTTTTTTTATATTGGTCTCAGGACACTTACATGTGTATTTTGGCGCACAAGCTTTTTTTCTTTTTTTTTGACATGCTCTCTTCAGCTAAACCCAGGCTTAAATCGAGATTTTTTTTTTTGTTTTTTTTAATTATAATGACTTTAAAGATGTTGTCATGAATTTATGAACTTTTTTTTTTCTTTTTTTTCGACAGATTTCTGATTGCCCGGGTCCATGTCTCCCAGCCCAAGCTTTTTTTGTTTTTTTTCTTGAAAAGGATATACTGATGATTGTCCAAAATATTTTTTTAATTTTTTTTATTTTTTTTCTAACAAAGATGACTTTAATGGATTTATTTATTGGGCTATCGCGTTTTTTTCTTTTTTTTAAAAAGATGGCAATAACTTTTGCCAGGTCCGCACTATAAGGTGGTTTTTTTATTTTTTTTCATCCGAGCTCCTGGAGCTTCTGGCGCGTCACCAAATACGTGTGTTTTTTTGTTTTTTTTGATGAAACACAATTCGGCCTTTGTTGATCAAAGATGGCCTCTTCTTTTTTTGTTTTTTTTTTGCGGTTCATTTGTTGGCAGTAAAGGGCCGAATTGAGCTTTTGTTTTTTTGTTTTTTTTTCATAGTAGATGATTCCTTGCCAATACCACCAAACACACAGCAATTTTTTTCTTTTTTTTAATCCGGTCTTGGCCACCGTCCGGGCCGCTTCCCCGACCATCGACCGTTTGCGCTCGATGTTGTCATGGGTGACCCATTTTTCATCGCCAGTCACAATCCGCTTTTTTTTTGTTTTTTTTTTGTTGCGATTCAGCAATGATTCACAGATGCCAATTCGGTCCACTTTTTTTTTTTTTTTTTAAATCGTGTGGCACCCAAACATCGAGCTACTTTTTGAATCCAATTTTTTTCTTTTTTTTCCAAACGGTTTTCTGGCTTATCTTTAGTTCCTCGGCAATGAAATTTTTTTTCTTTTTTTTACAATTTATTGCAATTTTCGACGACAGTCCTCCCGACGCGTGATTTTTTTTTTTTTTTTTAATTACCGGAAGGGAACCTAGCAAACCACTTTTGTGCTACACGTTTTTTTTCTTTTTTTTGCACATAAACTAAATTAATTTTTTCAGCCGCTTTGGCTGCTTTTTTTTTTTGTTTTTTT